GTGTATATATGTCTGTGTGTATTTACTGACAATATTTATGAATGTAGGCATGCATGTTTGTATATCTATATATGTATATGAATGTGTATGTGTATATATTTATATATGCCCTCCATGTATTTATCCATTTATTTTTCAGGTGAGCGGACAGATGTTGGGTGTGTGGTCCTGTGTTTTTTGGTGCATATTTATTATACTTCTAATCGCTATTTCAATCTTTCTATCTTTCTAATTACTTCTCCCTGTCTCTATTTTCTCTTCACTTAAAAAAAGTCACTGATGATGAAGAAATAAATAAACTAAAACTAATATTTGGTTTCGTTTTCTACTGAAGTGACACAACAAAACATTTGACAGCTTTGTAGGAATGAACACATTTGCAACATTTAGTTAAAATGCACCTGTTTAAACAACAAAACCAAAAATACAGGTGTTGCCTATTTCTTAAAAATGTCACCAGAAAAAAATCCACATACAGACGTGCACACACACACACACACACACACACTCACGCACACACACACAATGTCCTGCTTTTGACTGATTTAACTTACAAAAAGTAAATAAATAAAATAAAATAAGCAATTGACAAATGTTATTTTAGTGGCTACGATTTTCATCCATCACATAATGCCTCCTTGTTCTTTTGCAGAAGGAGAGGAGAGAAAAAGGCATGAAGGCAGAGCAGTAGCGTCATCTGTCAATCACAACACTCCTGCTGTGTTTAAATTATGCCAAACAAATCAAAACACAGCAAAAAATAAATAAAAAAACACTGGAAAGTGGGTGGGATCAGTAAAAGTAATTTGTTTCATGAAGGGGAACAGAACGTGAAGCGACACTGACTGTAAATATGATTCACATTATCTGATGGTTGCAAATTCAACCACTAAAATAATGTTAGTCTTTTTTTTCTTTTCAGTGTGTGTGTGAGGACCATTTTCACCAGTTACTGTCAAAGTGAGGTCTATTTTCAAAATCGTATGCTGATAATTGAATAAAAGGTCATGATCAACATCAAAATCAAGAAGCACAGAACCTCTTACAGTGACTTACATAAATATTCATACCCCTTGAACTTTTCCACATTTTGTCACATTACAACCACAAACTTAAATATATTTCATTGGAATTTAATGTAAAAGACCAACACAAAGTGACACTTGTGATGTGGAAAGAAAATTATACATGCTTCATGTTGAGAAGCACCAAGTTCTTCTCTAACCTTTCTATTTTAGTACAGAGTGTGTAATTGTGAACATTCTGAATATGAAATTCAGAATAAAAATGATCAAAATAATGTTTAATCTGTTTAAACACAAATCCTTCCAACAGTTTACTCAGGATGGTAAAACACATAGTTGTGCTGTTCTGTCCTGTCAGTGGTTCTTTAGAAATTTTAGACAATCGAAAAATTTTAGAAATTTTCTACATGTGGGCATAAACACCTTCAATAAAACACAAATTAAATACACAACATAAAGGCTTGGCTATTAAGTTAGCTAACATTTTAAGAAGCCTTCCATCCATGTTATCTAATTCACAAAATTTATCGTTGTTAACTCAGTTATTTCTTTCATGGTGGTGGTCAGAGGGGTAGCGCAGGTGCATGGCAGACTCACCTCTGTCAGTGTGCCCCATGGCAGCTGTAGCTACAATTTAGCTTACCACCATCAGTGTGTGAATGGGTGAATGATTAAAATGTAAAGCACTCCATAGGGACTTAATAAGGTGCTATATAATTTCAAGCCATTTACCACTTAATAGACATCTGTAAGTTTAACATCCAGGCCAAAAATACCATAAAAAGAACAAATGTGTCAAACGGAACATGGGCGTTCCGGTGGTTGTTGACAACTGAGGTAATTTTAGCCATCTTTGAGCAAACAAATAAACAAACACAACTCACATTCAGTGTTAAAAAAATTTGTATAACACAAACAAATTCTTTAAAAACTGCAAGAAGTCTGTCTAAAATATAAGTTTTTATTATGTTTATACAACATTACTATGCTAATATAATAGATAACTAATTTGAGTCTTTTTGTAGTGAAAAATTACAATAGGAGACACACAATGGGCCTCATGCAAGAACCGTTCGTACGCACAGATTTGTTCTTAAATTGTGCGTACGAGTGATTTAGGAGAATTTGTGGCATTCACC